GTTAATGCTGTTGTAATGAAATGCTTCTTCTAAGTATGTGGTTATCAAATAAATAATAAATAAATAAAACATAAAAAAAGAAAGAAAGAAAGAAAAGAAAGTTAACTAAATCACAAAGTAGTTTGTTAAAAACTGTACCTTGCTGGGCGTGGTAGTGCATGCCTTTAAGGCAGAGGCAGGTGGATCTCTATGAGTTCAAGGCCAGCCTGGTCTACAGAGTGAGTTCCAGGACAGCTGGGGCTAGAGGGAGACCCTGTCTCAAAAAAAACAAAAACAAAAACAAAACAAAACAAAACAACAAAAAAAAAACCCACAAAAGATAAAACTGTACTTCATACCTATTTCAAAAGCTGGAATTCTGCTCATTTGTGATCTTTAAGACCACTCCAAATTTAAAGGCTACCTTATTGTACATTTAAAGTATATTATAACAGTGTGGTAGTTAATAAAACACTACTTAAAATAAAACAAAACAAAAAAAACCTGCCAGGTATGGTGGCGCATGCCTTTAATCTCAGCACTCAGGAGGCAGAGGCAGGTGGATCTCTGTGAGTTCAAGACCAGCCTGATCTATGTAGTGAGTTCCAGGACAGCTGGGGCTACAGGGAGACCCTGTCTCAAAAAGACCAAAAAAAAAACAAAAAAAAAACAAAAAAAAAACCCAAAACAAAAAGTCCCCCCCAAAACCACTAAACCTCATGTATCTGTAACTCCAGTTCTGGGGGATCTGACACCCTCTTCTGGCCTCCATTGGCATTGCATACATGTGGTACACATATGGAGGCAAACATGAATACACATAAAAATAAAAAATAATAATAATAAAAGGAAACTGTATTGGGCTGGAGAGATGACTCAGTGGTTAAAAACACTGGTTGTTTTTGCAGAAGACCCAGGTTTGAATCCCAGCACCCATATGGCAGCTAACAACTATTCATTGACTCCAGTCCCAGGGGATCTGACAGCCTCTTCTGACCTCCGTGGGCATTGCATGACACATGTGCACTTACCTACATGCAGGCAATTACACATACATAAAATAAAAATAATAAAATAAAATAAAAAACCAAAACAAAAACTACAGGTTTAGGGGCTGGAGAGATGACTGAGCAGTTAAGAACACTGACTGTTCTTGCAGAAGACCTAGGTTCGAATCCTAGCACTCACATGGCAGCTAACAACTGCCCAGTTTCAGGGGATCCGACAGTCACTTCTGTCCTCCGCAGGCATTGCATGACACGGGTGCACTCACCTACATGCAGGCAATTACACTCATACACATAAAATAAAAATAATATTTAAAAAACAAAACAAGGGGCTGGAGAGATAGCTCAGCAGTTAAGAGCACTGAAGGCTCTTGCAGAGTACCTGGGTTCGATTCCCAGCACCCACATGGTGGCTACGAACCATCCTTAACTCTAATTCCAGGGAAATCCGAAATCCTCTTCTGACCTCTGCAGAACTGCACGACACAGGTACACCCACATACATGCAGGCAATACACTCATATATATAAAACAAAAACAAAACAAAAAAAACTATAGGTTTATAATAAAATAACAAGATGTTTGAGAGAGAGGGAGAGAGAGACAGAGAGAATCTATAGGCTTAACTTTACTTTCCTCTTCTTACCTATTTTCCATTAGGAAATCCACAACATATTTCTTCAAGCAGTATAGATGGGCATCTACAAGGTCTGTATGAAAATATATTCTAGGGTACCTATAAGAAGAATAAGAAAGGAGGGGCTCATAATCAAGTAATATGGTCTGTAGTCTATCTTCAGGTAATAGGCACCAGGAAGTTGACAATGATCAGAGCTTTGCTGTCTACATCCCAGCTTAGAGAGAAAAGGATGAGAGACATTAGTTTTGTTTATTTTAAAAATATTTTTCACTGAGTTTTTGTGCATTTCATATAACAGATATTAATCAAATTTAGATCCCCTCCCCCATCCACCCCATCCCTCCAATAATCCTCCCACTGGATTTCATGCATTCTATCATAAATGATAAGCCCTTTCTGGTCAAGCATTTGTACCCAGATGTCCCTCAGTTTTAATCCTAACACACACAGAAAAGGTCTTCTCCCTAGAAACTGTTTCTGATGGAATCAAACCAAGTCCCCCCCAGATCAAAAGAAGAATATTCTGGGAAACTGTACAAGGAAGGAAGATGTAAATTCTAACTACTGAGAAAAAGCTGACCTTTTCATGCTCCGTGCATAAAGCTGAAAATCACCCAAAACTTCCTCCCACTACTGCCGCTCCCCCTCCCACTTCTGCCACTTCTGCCGCTTACCCGAAACTACCCCCTCCCACTTCTACCGCTTGTAGTTTGTGGTTTTTGCCTTTAAAAGAAGCCTGTAAGTTGAGCTCTGGGCTGCTGTTCTCTCTCTCTCTCTCTCCCCGAGTGAGGCAGGAGCCTGTCTGCGCAAATGATTAAATCCTCTTGCTTGTTGCATCTCCTGATCTGAGGACTGAGTTATTGGGGTGCGGCCTCCCATGGATGTTGGGTACCCCATCCTGGGGGTCCAACATTTGGGGGCTCGTCCAGGATTCGGTTGCCCCCAGACCCATTTCCTCAGATCAGCAGGAGGGAAGGACGTCTTGTGTTTTGTCTTGGTCTTAATGTCTGTCAGTTATTTCCTGTTCTGGGAACGTTCCGTCTGAACATTTGTGCCTGTGCAGGACCTGTAAGTCTGTATTCTGGAAACCAGTGGGAGTGGCAGAC